GGACTCCCTGCTGCTGGTGTCCATTCAAGCCAGCAGTGTTGAACATCTCTTTGTCCACCTAAAGGGGCAATGCCAGCCTAGTATGACTGTTGTTACCAAACTCCTCCAGCACAGGCTTGGAGCACATTCACAGAAGGGCACCATTATTATGAAAAAAAAATGTTGCCTCTAATCATTAAGGTATTTTGATGGAGTTTACTGATTTTTGCATAAATATGTTCACACACACACACACACACATACCACCACCACCACTATCATTACCACCACCAGCCCTCTATCAAAAGAGCTGAGGTGGGGCTAGAAAGATGACCCAGTAGTTAAGAGCATTGACTGCTCTTCCAAAGGACCCAGGTTTGATTCTCAGCACTCACTTGGCAGCTCACAACTGCCTGAAACTCCAGTTGCAGTAGATCCAATGTCCATTTTTGGCCTCCTCGGGCTCTGCACACACATGGTGCACAGACATATATGCAGGCAAAACACCCATACACATGAAATAAAAATAAATCTCAAAAAAGAGCTTAGGTGATTTCCTTTGAAGCAAAGCTCGCAACAGACTCCAGGAAGAAAGCAATCGTGCTTAGAAACATTTCATAAACCATTTTCTTATTTGGAAACAATTAGCATACGTGGTAGAGTCTGTGCCGTGGACAGCAAACTCAAGTGTTTACACATGTACTAGCGTTGATTGAATGATTCTTTTTCTACACATTTCAGGATTTGTTTTTTTTTACCTTAGGTTTTGCAGTTGCAAACATCCTTTATGACAGAAATCCTATGCAGCACATGTATGGCTTTGGATGAGACCAAGGAGCTTAATATCCATGATGTAAATGAAATGTTACTCATGATTCAGTATTCAATTGCAAAAATACAATTTAGACGAAAAGAGCAGTTGGGGGAGGGACAAAATAAGAGTCAGATTCTCAGGTGTATGCAGTTCATTTTGGAATGCACCCACAGAGCCACAGGAAAGGGAGGGGTTGTTTCCAGGTGCCAGAATGAAAATGGTGAGCAAGTACGATTCTGGAAAGCAAATGCCACATCTTTCTAGTGCCAAACTTTGTCCAAATCACAGAACTGATATGGAATCCCCCAAAACAGAGAATAAGTGGTATCCCAAAGCAGACAAGAGAAGAATAACCAGGGTGTACAGACTTACCCTCCCCCATCCAAGGTCAACGTGATGTGTCTCCTAGAGACTTTGGGATACCTTTTAGCAAGGGTGAGCATACAGATGTAGTGTGTATGCTGTAAGGAAACTGCCTGGACTGCTTGAGGGCGTACCACTCCATCAGCTAACATTTGTATTTGAATCATCTGTGAAGTCTGAAATCGCGCTCTTATCACAAGCTTCTGAGTTTTAATACCTCCATAAAGCAAGTAAACATTCCCGCTTTCTGTTTTCAGTGTCCTTGGTCATGGTGCTTTTTGTTGCATTAAAAGTGCCGGTCAAACTTTGATAGTATTTTTTTATAGTTGGTGCAGAGTGGAATAACTCATGGATTATTTCAATATTTTTGTAATAAAATATAGGGTGTACATATAGGCATTGTTGCTTTTTTTATAGACTTGGAATTATTTAAACTACATTGTCATTCACTTGGGATGTAAGAATTCAGTCTACAAATCCATCAGCCTGCCTCAGCAGATTGAAAACACTTGTCCCTGGTGAGATCACCTTCCTTTTTGCAATTGACGGCCCAGGAACCTGACCAGAGTGCTATTCCAGCATCAAATAAAGAGGGAAGTGGCCTAACTAGAAAGGGCTTGTGAAGACTGATCATTGTCTCCCAGGAAATCAAAGATGTAAGTGATTTCTTTCATTCATCCATTAGAACAACCTGACCACAGTGGAAGATGTCTTAAACTTCCTTCCCTGGTTTTATACTAACCCAGCCAATATATTAAAGATTCGTCAAGTCACAAAGGAAGAAAGTCAGTTTCATTTATATTCACTTAAAATAGTCAAGTTCTAGAGCCACTACCCATAATGGATATGTCATCCAAAGACTGTGGTCCCCAACATGACATCCACAGGAAGGGACAGAGGGCTCAATCTAGGACTTCTTTTGGTACAAAGCCCCAAAGCAATTTTTTAAGACAGTTTTTACCAGACATATTTCCTAATACTCAATGATTTGATCCTTCAAGCAAGATTTCCACGATACACTAGTCTTTTGTTGGAATGAAGAAATACTACCTTCCTACCAGTAAAGCTTCAGGAAAACATTCAGCTTCTCAGCAGATGGTGAACACACCCCATTCCAATGCAGAAGGAAATCACACAAATTTGGGCAGATACTTCTCTCGTGTGCAGAACCATGAGTTATTAACTTCATTAGTTCCAAGACAACTTTTCACTGATGAGCTTTGGAGACTGCCGTTCCCAGGTGGTCTGCAGCTTTGACTCTCTGTGAGTGAGTAACAGTTAACGTCGGAATAGTGTCCAGCCAAACAAGACAACAGGAGCATCCACTCTTTGATCATGTAAGTTCTAAGTGACTTCTCAACTTGATCTCACATGTAACATTCTAAGGGTTAAAACAGCTGAGGTATATAGCTCTACTTTGTCTCGATGGTAATATAGTTAGTCAGTCAGATGTAAAAAGCTTGAATTTCCAATCATTTCCAAAATACTGCAAATATTCTTGGATCTGACTTATGCAAATATCATGATGTTTCAGTGAAAGATGAATTAATTCTTGTTAAGGAAACAAGCTATCTACCATGTTCCAGGTGTGACTCTCAAATGTAAGAAAAGCAAGCAGCAATCATAATATGGCTCCAGCAGGACTTATTCTTGCTCTGCTGGTTCAGGAAACACATGTTGTCATCAGACTGCTGTAGAACATAAATACAGGCTCCAGAGTTAGGAGGCAGGAGTCAATGAGGCATCATCAATGCCCAAATGAACAAATTTAATTCTCCTAACATTTGATTTTCATCTGACATGAAGCTCTACACAGAGCAGCTGGAAAATAGTCAAAAGGTGTGAGCAATGGCTAGCAATGAGGGACTCTGTCTTTGGCTGAGAATGTCTGGGTCTGAGTCCACTTTGATTCACTTTAAAGGATCTTACTATCTTATGGTAGTCATTGTTTGCATGGGATGCTGATATTTTCTAAAGAGAACAAAATCTCCCTAATTAGCATTTCTGAATTAATACTCACTTAAAGAACACATATACACACATCTTGGCCATGCTGAGATTTCATTTGTGTGGGAGAAAAGCAGTTTTCCATGCCTACCAAAGTCTGCTTCCCAAGAAATTATGTCCTCTACATTTCCTATGTACTTATATTATCCTGCTTAACTGTGTCTTAACAGCCTTTTAGATACTCCATGACAAGTCATTTGTGATGAATACTATTAACTCAACAGATGAAATAAACCCCTTACCAAGAGTTTAAGGTTCTGTAACTCAAGTGTTAGCAACAGGCAAATTACACAGATTATCCAAAGATAATTGTACTCTGAAGATAAATGTAAAATAGTGGATCCCCAAGCATGAAGGGGATCCACTTTGTGCATAAGTGAAGTGACAATGTGGTTTAACAGGCCATGGTGCCACTAATCCTGATAGTATGAATTCAGTCCCCCCAGAACCCACATGATAGAAGGGAAAACTAACTCAATCAAGTTGCCACCTGACTTTCAAATACATGTAATGGCATGTGATTACCCACACACATATATATTAGATAGATAGATAGATAGATAGATAGATAGATAGATAATAGTTGGATGATGATATATGATAGATAGATGATAGATAAATAGATAATTGATGGATAGATAGATAGATAGATAGATAGATAGATAGATAGATAGATAGATAATTGATGGATGGGTAGATAATAGATGATGATGAAGAAGATAGATAGATATATGATAGATAGATAGATAGATAGATAGATAGATAGATAGATAGATAGATAGATAGATAGCTTTGGGGGGGTTGTGCCTATAAGATGGCTCAGTAACAAAACTACTCACTGCACAGAAAAGCAAATATGACCGGACTTTGAACCCTGAAACCCATGTAATGTTGAAAGGAGAGAACCAACTCTACAAAGTTGTCCTTTGACCTCCACATACGCACCATGGCACACATGTCCTTCAGCACACATGATATATACACAGACACAGACAGAAAGACATTCATATTAGTATATACACACAAATTTAGAAATTCGTGGGAATAGCTTAATCTCCATGACTTTTTGATATCACTTATAGGTGTGTTGCTAACATATAGATGACAAGAATAAAGTAGTTCTCTTCTTTAATACATAGGAGTGATATGTTATTGACATGTGGCCTTTTAGGCAAGAACTCTTTATTTACTCCTTTTTTAAAAAATCAACTGTCCTTACAGTCCAGGCCTGTAAGACATGCTTCTTGGTTTGAGTGAATTTTATCTTCCTTAAGCATCTCATTTTTAAGTGACTTAATAAAGTAGTTTTACGTTACTTCACAGTTCTGGAGCACATTGGATTAAGCCAATGAAAACCCTTATGTCCACACAGGGTTGAGGAAGGTGATGCAGTCACTTTCAAATGTACCAGATGTTACTGGGTAGAAGCAAGTTCTGACACAATGTTTAGACAAGAATCCAGAGAGTTTTTTTTAATGAACCATTTTCTAGACTAAATATATGCTCCCTTGAATTCACCACATATCTTTGTCACTAGCCATGACTGTTTCTATATAAAGCTTGGATTCAATGCCTGCATTTTTTTATGTTTCCAAGGAGAATTCATTAAAACCTCTTTTTAAAAGAGTTCCAACTATCATTCGGAATCTGACTTTGGGAGGATTGGGGAGGCAGAAACTGACAACACAGCAGGACTAAGGTGGACCTTGTTATAATTTTAATAATGGATACAGATCATTTCCCCTTCCTTTAACTAGCAATCCAGTGTCACTATTGAAAACAGTTAAAGTTGTTGCTTTTGCCAGTTTTGACTCATGACAGCCCTCTGTTACCCAACATTTGATGCTTCTATGTGACTACGAATGGGTGATTTCACTTTAGTTCCCATTTCTGAGTCTCTTTTCTCCAACCTGTATCCAGATGGGAGATGGCCTAAACACTAGGTGACATCCCTTCTCCTCTATCAAGCACCTATAGTAGCATCAGGTAATGCCAAAGCTCTCTGTCAACAGATATTGTCCAGTTGCTATCCTGAAAGTAGGCCCATGCTAGACTCCAGGTACTTTCTTGTGATGGACAGCCTCAATGGAATCATTACCCATGGAGAAAAAAAAACTGCATCATGTGGGTGGAATTGAATAAAAATGTAATGAGTCATTTAATTTTGCTAATTGTAGCAATTAGGCTAGATCATAAGCAGCAGAGAGCCAAATGGAGGAAGTGGCAAGCAGCCATGTGCCCACAGAAATGAGGGGCTCAGAAACTCTCCAAAGAGTGGTCAAGGCAGAAGCTAACCTCACCATCTACCTGATCTCTTCCATAGATTCCAAGACGAAGCAATGATTAGACTCTTACTGTATTGCATGCAGTAATACTACCCAGAAATGCAAAACTTAGTAAACTGGGTGGCCTAGGCTTTGTTACTCAAGGATGCTGGCTGTCTCTGACTTGCCTAATCATTTGGTTAAAATGTTTGCATATTATTTTTAATGTTTGCATATTATAATGACATAACATAATGCAAACATGGAATGTTGCTTTGGTTATTTTGTTTACTTGTAGATTTCCTTGCTGTCTGATTCCCATGTCAGATAGAATATCATTATTAATAATTTACAACATGCTAACACTGTGCTGAAAATGCTCATCTCTGGGATCCGACTTACTCCTCACAAACACTGGTGAATGACATCACTTTACTATGGCACAGCTTCAGCCCAGAGATGGCAAGCATCTTGCCAAAGAGAGCACAGCCAGGCTATGGAAACATGGAAATAAAAGTCAGGCCCAGCTTCTACTACCTGAAAGATTTCCAAGAATTGTGGCAACCCCAGTAAGTCTACTTCTGATTCAGCAATTCAAATGGAAAACCAGAATCATTTTTTCCAGAAACATTTCATAAAACTCAAGTATGTCTACCAAAATGAAAATCTAAAACAGCTGTCGATGGTGAGAGATGGAAGTCTCTATCAAAACAACCTGAATATTGTGTGTGGATCAGTATTGTTTTCCATTTAGGTAGTAGTCCCCACTCCATGACCTCGCTCTGCACTAAATTAAATCTGAAATATGAAGTAACCTGAGGCTTCTTTCCTTGTACTCTATCTATATCTCACATTATTATCCAGTTAAGCAGAATGAAATATAACTTTTCAAAGCTACTTAGTGAAAAAGATAAAGATTGAGATGACATCATTTTCATTGTCTTATTTTTTGCTAAATTTTGTTTAATATCTTATGTCATTAAGGTTGAAGAGGATTTTTAAAGCAGTAGCACTAATCCAGAAATGTTATCTTAAATTGAATAATTAGATTCAAAGAATATACCAAGTGTTTATCAAATATTTACTGAATTCTAAAGCATCTGCCATATTATTTCCCCTCTTAGTTTAAAGACAGTGAAATAGAAGGCAGAGTGCTAACCCACACCAATGCATAGGAACTGTGTGTGTTGCTTGAACAAATGCTTAAAAAGTAGCAGATAATAAACCAGTTTCCCAACCCTGCTGCTGGATGTGTAATCCTCCCAATGTTCATTTTCTATGGCAAATCCAAAGCAGCATCTTACTGCAAATGCTTTAAGTTAAGCAGATCTTAGAGAAATTATGGTAAGTCAGAGGTCAGTAATTTTAATAGAATATTAAAAGGAATCCCCATTATTTTATAGAGTTTTGTAATCACTGTCATATGATTGACCCTTATTGATTCCCTTGGTCATTTATTCAGCAAGCCTGACCCTTGTGACTGCAGCCACTAGATCATAAGCAGGTACAAAACAGCCGTGCATCCTAGCAACTCACAAGGGGTTCTTAGATGCTTTGCTGGTTCTAGACTTTATCTCCCAACATTTTCTGCTGCAGCACACTGACATTTCTCTTATCACACCATACCTTAATCCTACATTAAAACAGTAAAGAAGTATAAAATTCTCTAGGACTTCCTTATAGCTCTACCAATAAGCAATTGGCACACAGTGACAGACATGAGTCAACTACATAAATATGATACTACGTCAGTACTAATAAAGGGAACAGTGAAACTATATCCTGACCACAGAGATTCAAGCCACCATTCAGCCCAGGGTTATCACTTTTTAGACATTTAGACATACAATAGAAGCATATAGTCACTGATGTGATGTTTGCAGAACAAAGATCTCATTTAACATCAAATTAATTAATTGCAATAAAAAGCAAATATTAGCAGCATGGTACAACACAAAATTTTCTTTTGTGCTATTACCGAAACCTGCCACCTACTCTGTTATTAGAGTGTCAGAAAATGCGAGGTTTTGTGTTTTTATTATACTTATATCTACCAAATTAAACCAGTTTGCCCTTTCCTTTGTCTACTGCTTAATTTGCATTAAAATGGAATTAATCAAATTCTTACTTCAAGTGTTGCAAATAGGAACAAATGGAGATGTTGTGTTTAAGCTAATTTAATTTAACTATTGTAGTGGCATTCTGGCATGGAGTTGTATCCAATCAACACTTTTAATTATTTCAAATTAGTTCATTATCAGTAAGTTCTAAGATACCCCTGAGTATGCTGAAAATATGGTTTGAGTTCCCATCACTGTAAAAGACATCCTGTTTTGATTACAAACCAGCAAAGTGTCTTAATGCATGCTAATCCTTCAATCAACTGTGGTTGGAAAGCCAGCATTTGACTTGAGTGTATTGAGCACCATGAAGTTCACACAGCAATTAAATGTTGACCTATGGTTTTCTGAAGAGCCCCCGTGATTTTTTATTCTACTGAAAAACAGGAAAAATAGGTCACTGCCCTGTAACCAAAGGATACTAGCAAGTTGTCATTTTAGAACTTGCTTTAAAAACACTAAAATACTCAACTTCCATTGCAAACCCTTCAAATGTATTGTGCATAATAAGGGAATAGGTCTCCAAAGTTGGTTGGAAACATTTCCCTTGGTCTGATTTAGAAGCAAAGAGCTCTGTAAAGAGAACTGAGGAGTGGAGAGGGACAGGGCCTGCAGACAAGGCCCAAGCTGTCCTACAGCTCAGAGTGCTCATGCTTTGGTCCCCTTCTTTTTTTTACAGAAACACCTTGGAACTTGTCAAGTTTTACTGGAGATGAGTTGCAGTTAATTAATCCAACAGACACTTTAATCTTGCAAATTCTTGACTTGTAATATTGTAATCAAGCAACTGGAACAGAACATGAATCAGTTCATGGACTAGGACAACTTGGTTCAGTGCTGTGACCTGATGTATCCAAGCCTGAAGAGACAGACCTCTGAGAAGTAGAGCTAAGGAAATTGTGCTACCTGGTCCCTCAACACAAATGCCATCAGTGTCCATGGTATCATCCTCTTTCTTTATTTTTTTTCTAGTAAGAACTGCTTTTTAAAAACCAGTCAATGAATTCCTGGGGCTTGTATAACTCAGAGAAATGGGTATGGGTCAAAGGGACTTGCTTCAAGTGGATTGAAGCCCACTTGTTTAGAAATGAAAAGAGTCTGTCATCTTTTATAACTGATCTACCATTGCTGCTTTTGATTTGTTCCATTGTCAGCATGATAATAACCAACGTGTAATGTTTTCATTGATAATTCAGTTTCAGAGGTTAAATCTGCAGTTTTAACTTAAAGGTATAGTTATAGAGTGATTTGATGCCTGCCTTCCTAAGTGGTAACATTACCATTCCCAAACCAATACCCATTTCAACAAGGAATCAACTAGTCTATGGCTTTTCAAGTCACATAAAATCTTGGTTATGACCTTAAAGATGACCAACCAAATGGCCTTAATGCCTACGTTTTTATTATAAGAAAACAGGTGGACTGAGAATTGACAACCATGATTCCTTCCATTTCTCTTCAAATAAAGGTGAAAATGAAGTTGTCAGAGTTAAGATATAAAGTATGTAAGAGTCTGATGTGCATGTGACCCTATTAAATTTATATCTACTCTTTTGGCATCATTTTTAGAAGTTAGATATAGATAAAAGGGTGAAAGTCATCAAGTATGTCCAATAAGCACTTTGAAAGGAGAAGAAGATGGATCAGGGATCACTATGTCCCCACACAAGCATCTCAGTTGTTCTATCAGGATATTCCCAGAGCTTCTGAGTGCACTCCTGGGAATCCACAGGGTGCCCAGGCAAGCCATGTCCCAGAGCACCCTCTGGGTGTAACCACTACAATTGAATGAATGATAGAAAGGTAGCTTCCTCCCCTGTGACTTACCCTCACATGCCAAACAACTAGAACTAACAAGCTGAAAAATGCTCATTTCCTGACCTACACCCTCCTGTGTAATTTATCATGAGTTGGTTAACTGCAGGGACATAGGAACAATAGCAGTCCTCTCTAACAAGGTTCAAGGAGTAAGTGTGACCATGGGAGTGTTGAGTACCAGGACAAAAGATTTCTACTAATGTAGAGGCCCAAGAAAACCTGTCCATCACTTGTCAGGAACACTCACCATTTTACCTAGTAGACACATAAAATATCTCTGCCATTCCATAATTATGGTAATGTACATATCCCTTTATGAAGGGACAAGGCCTGGTTAATATGGAAAGATAGAGGTCATGCAGGAAGCTTCATATCAAGTGGCTCTTTCTAAGAAAACCTTCCCTCTGATGGTTCTCCTTGATTAGTGGTCCTGTAATGCTCTGTCCATCAAGAGCTTCTGATGGATTATAAAGCAAGAGATTACACTCTCACTTATTAAACATAAGCTATTTAAGTATCACTCTTTTAATAACAATGAGATTCAGGGTTACCATGGCCTTACTCACCATCCCATTGTAAATATATCAATCATAACAGGTCTGTGTTCAAATGCACTCAACTCGTTTAGCCAGTATCATCTTTCTTGCAACTCGGTTTGGATCTTGGTTCTATCAGTCAGTTATCTTCTCTGTGTACCTACTCTGAGGCTCATAAGTCCCGTGTAAGTAATTTTCAGAACAATAGAAGAAAATAAAAAGACAGTTATGCAATTTTCCCACTGAGACAGAAAACATTAGACTGTTGATCACCCCAAAGTTCTGACTTTTCCTCATGACTGAGTTTCTTTTTATTGGCCAGCATTCATCATTTGAATTTTCCAGGTGATTGCTGAATAATTTTCACCAAGCCAAAGTAGATAGTGCAGCATTATTAAAAAGTAAAGACTGTTCACATGAATGCAAACATCCCTATGAAAAATCAAGAAGTCAGTCACTCAAGTAGCACATGTGGTTTTGTGATAGCACACATCTGGAAACTCTCTTTGAGAGACCAGATGTTTTAGCATACTGTTTTCCATCCTGTTTTCTGGTGTAGATAGACAAACTGCTCAGGTGTTGCAGGTGGAACTTAACTATCTTGTGCAGTAACCTTTTGTTGGTGACATTCTGC